ACTTCCCTATGGCTCAGGTCTGGTCTGCAGCTCATGCACAGAGCACAGGCCCCTCATCGTCCAGGTTTTACCCATGAAAGACCGCTCTGGATGCCCTACTAGCTGCTTTCTAGCTTGGAGATCATGTTCAGAACATACTAATGCAAGAGGAAATGAGAAGGGAAAGGGAGGAGGAAGGTGTAAAACCAGCATCAGTGCCCTGGAAGTTTACTCCAGCAGAAGGGCGCAGGTGGCAAGGCCTGGTGCAGGGAGGTTAGGCACAACCCCAGGAGAGTGGAGTCTGCAGGTGGAATAGAAGGGGAAAGGTTGAGAGTGCCTTGAAGAGGAATAGAGTGAAATCCCCAGCTCCACTTAATGACATCTCAGAAAACACCCCCTGTGTAGTCCCCGGCCATGGACTGCTGCAGCTCGGGGCAGAGCCACTCACGCAGGCAGTGAAAGACATGGAAAGATGCTGTGACTTGTAGGAGGAAGGCTGGCTGTCCTACATGCAACATGTGCCTCGGGTGAAGCAGATTTGCTTCCAGGAGACTCCCTCCCAGGAGCTGGGGTCCCTACAAAGCCCCAGCTCTGCCCCTCATCTCTGGGCATGCCTCTGTCAGGGGAAACCCCTGTGAGTACCTCTGATGGCAGCAGGGCAAAGCCTGCACTTGAGCTGCACCCCAGCCTCTTCCAAGGGACACCTGCCAGGTAAGGGGAACTATTCTGGGCCAGTGATGTGGCCACCAGCAGGACTTACCTATTGGTGTGTGCAGAGCAGAGCCAAGGCATGGCGCTGACTTGGGAGCTCTGGGTCCAAACTCCCAAACGGGGCTGTCTGCAGCGCAGCAGCGTGGTCCAGCTGGCACAGGGGAGGCACGCAGAGCTGCCGGCCCTTGAGCCAGGGGCCATCCATGCACGCAACAACTCCAACAAGAGCCAAAAGCAGGCACGTCCCACCTGTGTTAGAGCTCAGAGGATGCATCCATGCTGCCCTGCTGCCACGACAGCTCCACTCACCTCTGCGGCTGCAGGCTTGCCTGATGGCCAAGTGAAGGATGTGCTCCAAGTGCTGCTCCTCACCACTGTCCCCTGATACTCTCCAGACAGCTCCCGCCAGGACCCACACTTCCAAAGAGCTGGCTATGCACTGCTCCCCACTCTCACGCCTCCTCTTTGCAATGGCGCCTTTGCTGCCGGCTGGGTGGCAGGAAAACACCTTTCTGCAACTCTCACACCCTCCACAACAGACCTTAAATCAATAACCTCAGAACACAGGGCCAGGTTATTGCTAACGGAAACCATTAAACTGTAACACGGAGGGATAAAGCCAGCCTCTAACACTTGAAAGATTTATAGGGCACAACAGCAGGGTGTTAATTCTTTTGGCAACACAAACGCTTTCACACCCCCTGCCTTTCCTCACCCGCAGGAGTGAGGAGAGGGGACCATGTGCAGCCCAGTCCCAGGAACACAGTCGTGTTGGTGCTGTGGCCAGCGGCACACACATTTGGGGCGACATTGCAGCTGCAGGGCTGCCCAAATGCACACACCTCAGGTCCACAGGGTAGCGCATGCCTGGGGGGTTGTTCTGCTAGGGGTGAACAACCCAAGGACAGGACACAGCAGCCCATGCCCAGTTCTGGCTTTCCTGTGATGTTCCAAGCTCCCACCTGCCTCCACAGCTGCAGCAGAGGTTTGGAGAAAGGCTGTGGAAAAAAATTTGAGACCAGCTGAAGCAGTTGGAGAAGGCAACTCAGCTTTTGGGCTCATGAGCCTTTCTTCAGACATGAATCAGCCTACAGTTTACAAGTGTTTTTGCAGCTGGTTGGACAAGTGCTCTCCCTGCACCGCTGTTGCTTGGATCCACACACCTCCAGCGCTGCTGTGGCAGCTCAGAGACCAGGGAGCTGCTTGTCAGCACCGCAATCAGCCCAGCTGCCCTGGGCAGGAGAGGGGCTGCAGGCATGCTGCGGCAAAAGGGGTTTGCACAGAGTACCAGAAAGGGCTGCTCGCATCCTCCTGCTGAGTCCCCACCAGGCACTGGCTTTCACCCCCTCCTGCCCTGTCCTGCCAAGCCCACGTCTCTGGGAAGAGTTGCATTACTGATTAACAGCCCCCTGCCCATGTCCCCCTCATCCCACTCACACCTTTGCCTGCAGCAGCCTCCTTGGACCCTCCCTTGTGCAAAGTCCAGGGCCAGGCAGGGGAGAACAGGGTAGGAGCTCACCTCAGGGCTCACCCCGCTGGCAGCCTCTCCGCACCCCACATACCTGGGGTACTGCAAAGTCCTCCCTGACCCGAAATACAGAGCGGCAGGAGTCACCCAGCATGCAGGCAGGACCAGAGGCATCCCTCTGCATCCAGGGGAGCAGAGAAGGCACAAGTGAGCTCCAGCCACATGGAGCATCCTGCCCCATAAAACAGCTGCACACCTCAAGTACAACCCCAAAGGGCCTCTGAGGTCTGAACATGATCCAAGTGGCAGCATCAGCTTGGCTGAACCCCCACTCTGTGTCACACCTGCTGGACACCCCACCCTGGGTTTATTGCTGCTGTCCCCCTCCCTGCTCTCCTGCTATAGGAGTGGGCACTGCCTCCATCAAGAAATAGGTCTGG